AGCAGGAGGGGAAGCTGGGTATCTGTTTCAATTAAAAAAACTTAGTGTTGTAGTACCACAAAGCTGAAACATTAGTCAGACATTCCTGTTGGGAGAACTGACAGGAAATATGTGATTTACAATCTTGAGTATGTCTGCAGCTTGGAAGGAAGGAAAAAGAGTCATTTGCAGGTTGTGTACTTCTGGCCCTGGATTAATTTACAGAGATATTTTGCCTGTAAACTGACCAGTGACCAGAGTGATCTGAGGTGTGGTTGCTTTGAATTGCATGGCATTGAGCAGATGTTCTGCTTGCAGTATCTCTTGAGGTTTTTACCTTATATTTTTGCTGTCTGAACACTGAGATTCTGCTTGTACTTTGAATTTGGGTAACCTTTCAGGTGCTGGTCTTGACTGGAACTTGGGTGTGAAGTGTCTCCAGGATGTTTATCTGTCACATCAGGGGTGTGGCGTTTACACCTGCAGTAATTTCTGGGTCCCCCAGTTGTTCTCAGCTGATGGCAGAGATGGAAAAGGGGGTTGGGAGCACCATCATGCCTGGAACAGAAATAATAATAATAATAATAATTTTTTAAAAAAATTATTTTTATTTCCCAGGAAGGGCTGAAGTGGGAGGAGCTCCCACTGCTGTAGCACTGAGCTGTCTCAGCTCTTGGCTCAGGGAGTTGCAAGTGGGGCTAGTACAGAAATAGAGCCCAGAAGTGAAACCAGCCTGGGTTTCTGTTTGCAAACACTGCCCAGCTCTGTTTGTGTTCAGCAATAACAGGCTCAGATGGGCAGGAGTGTCCCAACAGAGGTGTGGAGGAAGATTCAGTCCTCTGGGCTTTGTAATAAAGGGACCAAATTCCTGCAGACTGCCAGGCCAGGAGCTTTAAATGAGTCTTTTACCTCCTTTCAAGTGGAATGGCCTTGGCTTGGGGAGAGCTGCAGGTCTGTGTAAGCCCTCCTGGAAGATGGAATAGGTGAAGTCTCAGGTAACTGGCAGTGGAGAACTGTCCATTGCCACACTTGGCAATGAAGCCTGTGGGTTTCTGTAAATGTATGCAGTCAAAAGCACTTGTAAAAATATGTTAGAAATGCAGAATACCTGTGGTAACTCAGCCAAGTGCTGGTGTCTGTTGGAAAGAGCAAACAGGTGAACACTTCAGTGAAGTGTTTCTGCTTCTGCTGGGGCTGGGGAGGCTCTGGCTGTGCCTCCTGGTGCATCCAGAAGAGCTCCTTGGTCAGTGCCAGGGCTGCAGAGTCCAGCACAACAGTGCCCTGTGCCCAAGGAGCTCTGGGCTTTAGGCACAGCAGGTGGGAGTCCAAAGGAAGTCCAGCTTGCTGCCTGTTTCATTTTTCGGGATTTCCATACCTGTAGTAACTACCTGGGATTTTTTTATTTGTGTTTTCTGCACTGAATGACATCTGCCCATACTCAGCCTTTAAAACTAAGGTGCCCAGCTGTGCCCCTTTACAACTGCACATTTATACAATTATTTTTATTAATTTTTCAGCACTGTTTTTTTCTGATTTGAGCTTTAACACAGAGTGCGCAGATGACCAGAGACCTGTGGCTGTTGTGAGAGGGTTTCTCTTTTGTAAATAAGCTAAATACAGCCAAGAGACCAAAAAGAAGAGGAGGTGCAGACAAAGGAAGCTGTAAAATAACTAGGACAGACATCCTCATAACCTTTTTCCCTGGGGCAGTGCCATGGGAATGCTGTAACAGGTGCTTAAGTGGAGATTCTAGATAGGCAAACATCTTTAAAGGAAACTTATTAAAGAGCTTTCATCTAAGCTAATATTTTTAGTCTTTTGAGATTGCTGTGATCTCTAAATCCTTCAGTGACTTCAGCTGTAATAAAACTTCATTTAGAATTTGTGTCTGAACTCCCTGCTCCTCCACAGGAGGTTCTGGGCTGGATGGAACAGGAATGGTGGAAAGGGGCCTCCTGTCAGGTAAACACTGAGCTCATGAAGTGCTGCAAGCTCAAAGAGCTTGGCTGTGGGAGCAGCCCAGCCCGGGAGACAGCCTGTCTGAGCACCTGCCCAGAGAGCAGCAGCCTCTCTTGGGTAATGGCAAAAATTCCATGGAAATGTTCTGTCTGGAGGCCTGGTAAGAAACCTGGTCTTCAGCATGTGATTTTACAGAAGAATTAACAAATGGGAATCCAGGACAGGTGAAGTTGAGAGAAGTAGGTGGGGTGTTTGTGGGTCTCCAGGATGAGGGAAGAGATGAGAATCTTGACTCCATGTTTCAGAAGGTTTATATTATATTATATTATATTATATTATATTATATTATATTATATTATATTATATTATATTATATTCCATATTATTTTATACCATACCATATTCCATATTATATTCCATATTTTATTCCATACCATATATTATGTTAGATTAGATTAGATAATATATAATATTCTATATTTCTATTATATTTCTATTATATTTCTATTATATTTCTATTATATTTCTATTATATTTCTATTATATTTCTATTATATTTCTATTATATTTCTATTATATTTCTATTACATACTAAAACTATACTAAAGAAAGAGAAAGGATTTAACCAGAAGGTTAGAAAAGAATGAATAATAAAATCTTGTGACTGAGCAGAGTCCAACACAGCTGGACCATGATTGGTCATCAAGTAAAAACAATCTACATGAGACCAATGTGAATCATCTCCAGGTGATTCCACAGCCATCAGATAATTATTGTTTACATTTCTTTTCTGAGGCATCTCAGGAGGAAAATCCTTGTGACAGGATTTTCATAAAATGTGTCAGTGACAGTGGGGTTTGGCATGTCCTGAGCTCCCCCAGAGCCCCTTCCTCTGACGGCTGTGGGAGGCTCTGGGGGTTTCAGCTCCACTGATCCAGTGCCACTCTCATGTGCAGGGGCAGCACACGCTGGGATTTTCACCCCCTGTGCCCCAGGGAGCTGGGTGCTGCTGGCACCTGGGCTGTGCTGCCTGTCCCTGTGTGTCACTGCTGCAGCTGCTCCACCTCCTCCAGCCAGGCAGAGGCTGAGCCAGGGCCTGGGTTTGACCACACACCTGCCTTTGAAATCTTCACCTGCAGAGAAGGAACCAGGAGATCCTGGTTCACTTCTGAACTAGGATGTACCAGATGTCTCTCATACCCCAGGCTACCACTTTGCTCTGTGATTTGTCAGCTTGTGTTGCCTTTTTGACCATTCCAGCTGGATTTATGCTGGATTAAAGTGGCTGAATAGTCATGGATTTAGGGACACAACTGCAGCAGAACCTGCCTTTATTTTGGTGCTTTAGGAGATCTGCTGGCAAGCTGTTTAATTACCTAAATGCTCTGTGAGAAGCTGAGGGGTCCTGCTGCTCAGCCTTGCTTTTCCCTCCTGCTACCAGGGAAATGCACTGTACCAGGCACTGTATGGGCCTGGATATTTTTGTTTTTCCATTGCACACAGCCATGGATGTCAGCTGTGTCTGAACCCGTTGGAGGATCTCTGCCTTAAACAATCCTGCTCGTGTCTTTTACAGCTGTTACTGAATATTTTGGGTAAAAATGGTCACTCTGGGTTCTCTTGGTTAATCCATAAACACTGCAAGTGTGCATTCTCCTCCATGCAGTGTATTTTATTTTCAGTTTGCCTCCCTGTAAAATACTTACTCTGGGCTTGCAGCTTTAGTGGTGGTTTTTAACATCCTTCCCTAGGCTTTTTTATCTTTTCAACAATTCCAGCTGGCAGAGGAGGACAGAGCACTTCCCTGAGCGTCCCCATGATCACAAGTGAGGAGCAGGACCCTGTGACAGTGTCTGTGGCAATGTGCCAGGTTTCCTTCCTGGCTGCAGGGGCAGCAGGAGGTACAGACAATACCTGGGAAGGGAGATCCCTCCCTGGCTGCACAGCTGGGCAGGCACAGGCCACCTCCAGAGTCCTTGGGCTCTGAGAGTTCAGTAGCTAAAAGTGAGGAGTTCCCTTCCCATGGCCATCTAATGCACAGCTTCCTAAAGGATGTCCATGAAACTCCCTCCTTCCCTCATTCCTCAGGTTTGGCTTCATTGCAGGAAGCTTGGCTTCCTGTTTCTCCCTGTCCTGGGGGCTGCTGTGCTGGATAATGTGATAATGGAACTGTGTTAGTATTGAAGCTGTTTTTAAATAAGACCTTGGGAGCTTGGCAGAACACGGGAGGGTGAAATTAAACCTCAGCTCGTGGGATTTGGGTGGCTGGAAATGGCAAAGAGAAAAAGGAGGGGAGGAGCAGTGAGAGCAAACTGGTTGTGCTTCACCTGACCTGGGATCAAAGGAACTTGTGCAGGTTTTGGGTGTTGTTAGGTCAGCAGGAAAGTGTCTGTGTCTGTTGGTGGAAGGGACAGCTAAAGGTTATGTCAGGACCATGGTTCAGCTCCTCAAGTGTCTGGGGCACATTTTCTGACACTGAAGTGGAGTTTAAGGTTGTTTCTTTGTGTGAGAATTTGTGTGAGAGCAGCTCCAGTGAGCCCTTTGCAGAAAGCTGCTGTGTTAGCTCTAGATAAATAACTGGCATCCCTGATTTCTTAGGTACAGGCAGCTCTTGGTGTGTGTTTTGTAGGAAGAAGGAAATAATGGATAATGCTTTATGTGCATGTTTCATTCTGGTTTTCTGATAAAGCTGCAGGGGAGAGGGAGCTCTGTGGTGGAACAGAGTTTGTCTTGGGTGCTGGTTATCTCAAGCTGATCAGTGCAAACGAGGAAGTGTTAAACCTGCTTTGGGAGAAGGAACTTTCAGTTCCCTAACCCAGGTTATTATTGAGATAGGGTGGAAAAACAACACATTAAACACTTTCAGAAACATTGGAAGGAATTTGGTGAGGTAAGGACTGCCCTCCTTTCTATCAACTGCACGGTGTTAAGTTGCCAAGTCCATAATCCACAATCAAATGTAGTGAATTTTAACTGTATTAATGCAAAGCATGCTGCTGCTGGGAGCTGTGTGTTGTGTTTCTTGTCCACCTTGTGACCAAGGGCTCTTCTTGTTCCTGCAGAGTGACCAGCAGCTGGATTGTGCCTTGGATTTGATGAGGCGCCTGCCTCCACAGCAGATAGAGAAGAATCTCAGTGACCTCATTGACTTGGTGAGTACTGGGTGCTGTCCCAGGAAGTGCCTCTTGACAAAGGGCTGGCATGTAAGAGCTTCTGGGGCATCTGGAAGGTCTGCTGTGGTATTTTCAGGGTGCCCAGGACGAAGGAGGAATTGAGAATCTGACTCCATGTTCTTAGAAGACTAATTTATTATTATATTATATTTATTATGTTATACTTATTATGTTATATTTATTATATTTATTATATTGTATTTATTATATTATATTTATTATATTATATTATGCTATACTAAAACTATACTAAAGAATAGAGAAAGGATACAGACAGAAGGTTACAAAGAATGATCCATGAAAACTTGTGACTGCTTCCAGAATCCTGACACAGCTGGCTGTGATTGTCATTAAGTCAAAACAATTCACATGAAACCAAACAACCAACCAGCTGTTGGATAAAACAATCTCCAACCACATTCCAAAGCAGCAAAACACAGGAGAAGCAATCAGATCATTATTATTTTCATTTTTCTCTGAGGCTCCTCAGCTTCCCAGGAGAAGAAATCCTGGCAAAGGGATTTTTTAGAAAATATGGCAGTGACAGTCTGGTGAGTTGTCTGTGCCCTTGTCTTTGGGCAAGGTTGAACAAACAACCATTGGCCAAGCAATGTCAGGAATGCAGGGATTGTTTTGGGCTGTGTGTGCAGGGACACTTAGTGAGTGTGAGCAGTCATTAGCAGCTCCCCTAATGAACTCAGCCCAGGTGCCAGCTTGGAGGCTGCTGTTGGAATTTGGGACAGCGTGTGCAGATGGGTGCAGGCCCTTGCACCTGGGTATTATCTCCTGATGAACAGCCTGCTCTGTGGAGCTCTGGGAGGTGCAGTGGCTGTGCTGCCCCACAGGCTGCAAAGACACTGCTGAGAAGGTCTGGGCATCTGGAGAACACCCAAATCTATTTATAATTTGTGCTCGCTCAGATGTTCTGCAGTCTAGTGTCAAAAACCAAACCTGGCTGACCATCTTTTGTCTGATACGTTTTTTTTTGCTTGTCCCTGGAACTTTTTGTTGTCCTTTGCACACTGCTAAGGGAGGAAAGCTGATGTAAGAAGGATTTCTAGGCTCCTTACAAGTGGCACATCCTGTGATGCATGTTTGGGCTGTGATAACCTGGTCAGTGCCAATTGTCCCTTCAAACAGAGTGTGGCACAGTGGCCTTTGGAGGAACTGAAGGTGTTACTGAAATATGGATTTAATCTGCACAGAGTCTGTTAGTAGGAAAACTGGATTCTCTTGTCATTGCTTATTTCTGACCTAAGCTTCTAAATTTGTGCAGAAGAGCAGCTGCTTACCAGGTAGAGGTTTGGTTGGGAAGTGCTTCTAAAGCTGGTGCTGGTAAGCTGTGGTCAAAAAGTTGTGGCTGACTTAAATTTATCAAACATTTCTTTGACTTATGTAAGCCAAGGTACAGGTAAGAGAGCTCTGGGGGTCAGGAAAGAATTATTCCCTGCAGGAAAGGATTATTTCTCTTTCTTGAAACCATTTAATAATTGGCTACATCTGTGCCCCCAAAGCCCTTGGCAACCTAAAGCATTGTTTTTGTGGCTGTGGTTGGAGGTGGGACACAAGTAACTAAATCTCTGATCTGATCTGGTGTGACATGGTTGGTTTTGTGATGAAATTGGGAGGACTGAGTGGGTATTGGGGTCTGAGCAGCTCCCAGGACCACTCCAAACAAGGAGTTGTTTGGTCAGCCATGGTAAGCTTGACTGTGTAATTGATCTGAGGTTTTTTAATGACTCAGAAAATTGCTGGGTACCTCTAAATGCTGGAATTACTTTTGGATGGTGCTCATTAGTGCTCTACATGCTTTCCATCAGCAACACACTCCCTGGGCTCCTTTTCACAGTGTAACATGAACCAGACCAGGTTGGGGCCTGTTTGGAGGAGGGTCTGTGTGCCCCACATGAGGCATTGCAGCCCCTCCTCTGGGGCTGAGATGAAATAATTTATTAAATCCAGCACAACTCCTTTATTGCTGAGACACCTATAGACCTGTTCTGCAGCCACTCTCAGCCTGAGCTCCTGGAGTGTGCACTGGTTAGACAAGAGCAGTGTGTGCTCTGCCACCTGTAACAGCTCCAGAAACACCAGGAGCCAGACTGGAGTAAATAGATTTTTCACCTTTTTTTGGCAAATTTCACCCCGACCTTTACATCTGTCATTTTGATTCTGCTGCCTGTCCCATTAGCAGGCAAGAACCTCCTTGAGGAAAAAGGGCAGACTCCAAATGCTCCATGAGCATGAGCAAGTTCATTCAGCTGAGGGGAAGAACTGTAAAACATGGCAGCCTGACTTTTTGGCTCCCTTGTGCTGGGTTTCCTTGCTCAGTCCACTGCCACAGTGGAGGAGGTGGCAAGCAGAGGCTCATGTCAATATTTGGGGTGAAGCTCAGGGTATTACTTGCAGCTCAGTGTGCCATGGTGTTTTCATAGGATTTAATCTCCAGAGTGATGGTGGCTGCTTGCTTAAGATCCATTGAAAGGAGAGAAGATGGCCCAGAAATGTCATTGTATGTAGAGAGTTTTCCAGAACTGAGACAGTGAGGAGCAGGCATCTCCTTCCCAGAGTCCCAGAGTGGTTTGTGCTGGGAGGGACCTTAAAGGTCATCCAGTCCCACCCCCTGCCATGGGCACCTTCCATGGCACCACCTCACTCCCAGCCCTGTCCAGCCTGGCCTTGGACACTTCCAGAGATCCAGGGGCAGCCACAGCTGCTCTGGGCACCTGTGCCAGACCCTCACAGGAAGGAATTCCTTCCCAATATCCCATCTAACCCTGCCCTCTGGCAGTGTAAAATCACTCCTGGGCTGGTGTTCCTGCTGGGAAGGATAACCACACTAAGCTCCCTCCCTGAGGTCCCTCTTACTCTATCCATGTTCTGCTGCTTGTGGCTCCTGCAGGAGCATCTTGGTACCCAGCTGAAGAGTTGGAGTGTGTCCAGGGCTGTCCATGACTGCCCCCAAGTGTTGTGCTGACAAGGGAAATGGCCCAAACTTGAACAGAAGTAAAAGGGTGGGTGGAAAAAGAGAATTTTTGGGTCACTGGCCCTCATCAGCCCAGACACTTTTCATTCATTAGCAAAACAGTTTGTGGTTTGCCCTTTCACCACATCTGTTGTGGGGTTTTTCAGACTGCTGAGGCTTCAATTAGAGTTCATTAGAGACCTTGTCAATCACAGCCCTCCAGAAGTCTGCCTGAAAGAAGCTGTGCATGGTGCTGGAAATGGGCCTTGGCATGGAATGCTCTGCTAGGGGTTCAATTAGTCATTATTTGTAAGTACACTGCTCAGAGGCTGTCAGAATGTGCAAGAGGACTTCTGAATCTCTACAAAGTTTGCTGTAGGCACATGCCTTTTTAAGGACAACTAATTTCAACTGGAATCATTTTCCATGGAGCTCCTCTGGAAACTGTGAGCCTTGAAGCACCTGCCTGTGGGCCAAGTCCAAGCTGAAAGGAAGTTCCCAGAAGAGGAGAGGGAAAGGTGATTGCACTGCTCTTAAATGGGTTTGTTGTGAGGATGCTCCAGGTCAGAGGTTGGACTTGATGAACTTCAAGGTCTTTTCCAACCTAAATTATTCTGTGTGTAGTGACAGCACTTGGAGCATTAGTTCAGATGTTAAGTCACAAAAGTGCTGTGTCACCTCCTTACTGCCTCACATTGTCCAGGAGCTGCTGGTTCACTGTGCTCCCAGGGAACCCTGCTGTGGATCACATCTGTTCTCAAAACCTGCTGGAAAGGGACTCTGAGGTGTTCTGTGCTTGGAAATGTCCTGGGATCAGCTGAGGGAGGTTTTGTGTGGCTCATGGAGTCCCTCTGAGTGTCAGGAGCTGTGAGGGAGGGAAGCTGGTGGAGCTCACTCTGGGTGGCCAGGAGCTCACCCTGAAAGGTCAGAACAGTCCATGGCAATTGCTCTCCTGCTTCCTTCTCTGAAGGTCAGCTGTACACAAAGTCAGCCCTCTGTGCTTTTAGCTGGGCTCTTTCTTTCCAGGAGAAATCCCAAAGAAGGATCAGCTTCTGGGCAGTGCTGCCGTGGAGGGTCCCTTGCCGGGACATCTTGGCAGCCCAGGACAAGGTGGGTGAGGGGTGTCTGGGGTTGCAGCCTCCAGAATCCTTTTGGGGTATTTTCTTCAGACACCTTCAGTGATGTGTCTTTGAGGGCTGAGGTGGCAAAGATGGAAGGAAAGTGGATTTATTGTCCTCATGGGCCATGTGCAGCACATCACAGATCTGTGGCAGGCTTGCCTTGGTGCTTTGATGGAGTGTGGAGGTTGATGCACTCTTAGTCTTGGTGAGAGTTAAGCAGGTTCCCTTAGCAAGTACAAATTTCCTGCTGAGTGTTTCATTTGGATGTTTGCCTGGGTGTGTATAATACAAATTAGATGAAGAATCTGGCTGACTCAGGGATATCAGCTGCCTGGCATGAAGTGGGGACAGAAAAGGGTCCTCACAGGATGGACAGGCTGGCCAGGAGAGGGAGGGAGGGAGGGCTGCTCACAGCCACAGCTTCTCCCTCTCTCCCCCTGTAAGCTGGTACTGAAGCAGCAGTCATTCCCAAAAGTGAAAGCTTTCCTGAAGAACAGAACCAAGTCATGCTGCCATTGAAGAATTGAAGTGAGAGCTCTTTATAGACACAGCAGTCATAACTTTGCTGGTTATTTTTGAAGGCTCTGTTTGCAATTAAAGATCTGGGAGGTGATCAGCTCTCCTTTCTCATCACAGGGGAATACTGAAGTGTTTTTAGTAGAATGTGTTACTTTTTAGAAAATCCTGGAGTGATGAATCTTAAAATGAATAAACTGATGATTTTGAAATATTTGAGCACAGTTCAGGCTGTTGCTTCATGTGAGCTCCAGGCAAGTCCCAAATCTGCTTGCATGCCTTCAGTCACTGAAGATATATGAAGCTACAGAATTTACCCCCAGGCAAACTGCACTGCTTGGGCTGCACAGACCATAAAGAACATGAGAATGTGACTG